TGCTCAGGAGAATGCTGTGAGAAGAGATGATCAGATGGAGAGATGTCCGTTTGAGACAAAAACTGGGGCCATGTAGATGTGCTCAATAAAACACAGGCTGTGGCAGAAACTGCAGAGTATGGGTGGCTGGAACATTTTTCACTGTGGACTCCCCAGCTCAGCTTTGGGGGATGTGAGTTGTGACTCTCTTGTTTCCACAGCGTCCTAAGCCATGTAGTATCTTTGAGTCTTTGACCTGGCATGAGTTTGGTGGGCATTAACCTCTGGGGTCAAAAAATCTTTATAATGAGATTCAGCACTGGATGCATATGTGAAAATTTGGCTAAAAGACAGAGTAGTTTTATGTGTTTGTTGATGTTTTCTGCTCTTTGTGCATCCTGTGATCCTTCCCTCCCTCCCTGTCCTAGGGCTTGTTAGTGGAAGATGCTGGTAGGAACAAAATCTCTGCAGTGGAGTATTGGGGAGCACCACGGGGAGAGTACCTTTTGGGATCACAGCTCCTGCTGGCTGCCATCAGGTGCCCTGGGCTGGGATCAGGCAGCAGGTTTTGGATCTCACACTGGGCACTGAGGGGTAGAGCGTGCCACGCTTGCACTGCTGTAACACCAGGAGCAGGAGAAGCTGCTGGGAGGTGTGCTGGGCTCAACCAGCTCTACAGGGCAGTGCCTCATCTGGCCTCTGCAAAATTTGGAAGTTTTTCTGGCCATTTTTGTCTCCAATCTTGGCCTGGCCTTAAAAATAGTGTCACTGAGTATTGTAAGTGCAGGCGAACCCAACGGGAAGAAGTGACGATGTCTGACTCAATTCAGAAAGCTGAATTATTTCTTTATTATAACTATGCTAACATACATTAATATAAACTACATACTACTTTCTCTAACTCTAACAAAACTCGTGACCCTCTCTCCAGAGTCCAGCCCCAGGTGGGTTGGATTGGCCATCAGCTCAAACAATCCTCACCAGAATCCAACCAAGCACTCACTCCAGGGAAACAATTCTCCAAACACATTCCACCTAGGAAAACAAGGAGCAGAAATAGAAATTGTTTTCTCTTTCATTTCTCTCTGTGCACCTCTATGAAAAATCCTGAGAGGGAGAGAAATGTGCTTGCCACAACTGAGTGTGGCTGCAACCTAGTTCAGGAGGGTGATTTAAAGTGAGGCACAGGGACCTTAACTCAAGACTTCCTTACTTGTATCAGCTTGTAAAGCTGCCTTTCAGTTATTTTAATATCATTCTTACATACTTTATTATTCACTGTCATGTTCAGTTTAATGTAGGGTGACCAGATGCCCCAGCATGACTCAAACAGTCTTTATCCTTAATTAAATGTCCTCTATGCATCTGTTTTTCCCTTGCTGGTTTCTGATGTCCCAGAAATCTAATAAAGTTTTCACTTTTCTGTTATTAGCAAACATTGTTTCATATCTGGTTTTACAGTTTTATTATACAGTCAGTTGTAGAGCTTAAAATTGCATTATAAGACTCCCTTGAATACTCTGTTTTAATATATTCTCCCTTCTGTAGCACCATGTTTCTAAAGCTTGTGCTATTACACAGTGATAATGCAAAATTTAATATTTTACAATCATCAACTGTAAAAATAAAACAGTAAAAGTTTGTAATTTACAAGGCTATAGATGATATCTGCAGATCTTATGGGTTTAGAAATGTATTGGTTCAGTTTTCCATATATATCAGTCTGAGATGGAATCTATTAGGCTCTGCACACACACAGCATATTGCTGCCATTTACACTCAGTGCTCTCGTGTCTTTGAGGGCGAACATAAAAACAAAAATAGATGGGAAAAATAGGAGTATGGACTCTGTTAACTCCAGCAGAGGTTTTCTAAATATGCCAAGTCATGGGGGTTCAGTAGACATGAAATGTCATCAGAAACAGGCCAAAATCTTGCAGTCACCTATGGATATACTCTAAATTTGTGCATCTGAATTGTGGTGATTTTAATGGAAGTGTTTATGGGTGTCATGCTAAGGATGTGCATGAGAATTTACAGGAACAAATGAAAAGTGAGAGTTTATCTTAGGGGCAGAAATTAATTGCACATAAATGTGAGCAACAATGAGTTGGTCTGTGAATACCTCCAAGATATTTAGTCAGTCTTGCAAAATCAAATGTGTGATCAGAAGAGCAGGATACCCTCAAAAATGTGCTTTTATCCAGAGAGGGGTAGGAAGCAGGCAGAAATAATATGGCAGAGCCCATAGCTCAAACACAAGCTGCTGATTGATGTGTGGGGGAGCAGCGTGCTGGGGGACCAGGCGTGCCCTGGTTTAGCCTGGGACTTCACCATCACAGAAATGGGGAGAAGGTTCCCTGGGGCAGTGGTGTTTTGGGAGAGGTGATCTCAAGGCAGCTGCTCAGCTTGCAGGGGATGCGTGGTCTTCATCTCACAGAGAGGGACAGGGGAGGTGAGTGGCTGTGGGGTAGCTGCCACAGCTCCTAGCTGCCTTCTGAGGGTAGCAGTGTGTGTAACTGAGCTTCTGTGCTCCAGAAAATGAGTTTTGAGAAGATGAATGCTTTTAATATTTCTTTAATCATGGAAGAAAGAGCAAAGAAGAAAGCTGTTGTGAGACACATCTGACTGTTGCAGGTACAAAGAGCAACCCTATCATTTGTTCAGATCAACATTACTATAGATACATTGTAATTTGAAAGGAAAAAACCTAACAAACCAAAAAGACCTCTTCTGTTTTTTTTTTTTTTTTTTTTTTTTTTAAAACCTTATGTGAAGATGCTTTTAGAAAGGCAAATCTGGGTACAGTACAGCAAAACTATACTGTACTGGAGGGAGAGTGGAGAAAAAGGCAGGGAAGTCTTGGAGTGTAAAATCAATGAAGAATTGCAGTATCAGTCAGATTGTTTTGCACTCAGTCCTAAGTGCACATTTACAGTCTGAAAAAGGTCTGATATCTGATCAGCAAAGGTTGGGGAGTATTATTGATTTTCAAACATTCTTGAAAGACTTTTTCCAAGTACCTATTGTAGTTCAAATAAATATATTCTGGACAGAGGAAATGTGTGTTCATTTGATTAAAAAGGCATCAATTCTTCATTATTCCAATTTTAGAAATCACCATATTTCCACTAGTACATATCTCTGTATACCAGGACAGGGTGATTGATTGGACACATGTTCATCGAAGCCAAAATTGTGCATTTCAAACCTATTTATTGCCCTGCAAAGCAATTGCGTTGTAACATATTTTGTTTTCTCTCCTGCGGTCTCCCAGGCTGTGGGACTTAGTGCTGTTAAAACAATAGCCCCATTCATTTAACTGAGTAGGTGCTTGCAACTAAATGTATGGCATCATTATCATTAGCTTCAGCTCCATCAACAGGGTGTCATTATCGCGTTTAACTTAATTAGTATGGAAGCTCTCTTAAAGAATGCTTCATAGAGAGGCATGTTGTAAATGTATTCTTGACTTCTAGTGAATAAACCAATAGGCTAATGCACAGTGAGGAATTTATAAAACAGCTGCTGGAGTGGAAGGCAGGAGGAACGCTGCCTGCTGCTCAGGGCAGGGGGTGGCAGGGCAGAGACTCCACTTCGGAGCTGCCCAGCCTCATGCCAAGGTGATGCTTGCACTGTTTGCCCTTACTGTGGTTTGTAATCTAAACAACTCCTCTACAGCTATGGAAAACATAAAAGGATCTATTCCAAGGTATTGGCCTCCCTGGCTGATCAATGTACCCCCCTCCTTCCCCTGCTGGGCTCCTGAAGTCGTGTCTGAGTTCCAGGAGGAGTTAGGGCTGCACAGAGCACATCTGCCTGTGACATACTTTGGATGGGTTTTTGCCACTGCAAGCATACCCAGATGAGCTGTCTAATGAATAATTAAATAATTAACCTGTAGCTGAACACTACAGGTTAATTGTATCCCTTACCCAGCTGGGCAGGTGTGCATCCCCCTCCACCCAGTACCCTCCTTTCTTACTTGCAGACAATAGAAGAACCTCTGAATTTTTCCTTGCTTTTTCAAAATGCTGCACCTGAACACTAGCCTCATCCACTCCCAGTTAGGCACAGGCACTCAAAACGCTCAAAGCAAACATGGCAGCTCCCTTTTTTCCTTTGCATTTCAACAGAAGGAAAGGTACTCTGCTCATGCTCTGGGTGAACAAGATTTTGTGTGGCTGTTTGGCCTTTCTTCCAGAATAATCTATTGATCAGGTTTCACAAAGAAGTTGGGGGTATTCACTTCCTGCAGCTTGCCAGGCAATGAGTAGATGGAAAGTCTCAGACTGAGCTCAACCCTAATTAGACTCCAGGGAGTGAACAGACCAGGGGAAGAAGCAGAAATAAAGATTAGAAGTGTCACAAATGTGGGAAAAGCTTCAACTGGAGTTCCTGTGAGAATGGGTCTGCAGGAACCCTGGCTTTGTTAATTCAGCAGCTCAGCTAACCCAAATGCATTCTGCTGTTTGTGTGCTTACTGTTCAAATGAGCATCAGTTTCCCAGCTTTTTCTTATAACAGTTTGGTCCAGAATTGTGGTTGTTTTTTTGTTTTTGTTTTTAATTTTTAATTTTTTTTTTTTTACTCAGACATTATCTAGTTTTTCTTAATCATGGAAAGCCTAAGGAAAATAAAGAAGAGAGTCACAACACAAATATGCAAAGTGACATCTCTGACAAAGAAAGATAAGGAAAGGACAAATTTTTCTGCAGGCTGCCTCAATGAGACCCTCTCAAATTTGCTCTTCCCACATTAAGTAGAATATAAATAATTAAACATCTTCCCAAGGAGCCCAGAAATAACTTCAAATGAGTAAAAAGTTTGAAACCTACCTCTCTGCCAACAGAGGCAATTTTGTACCATGTATTTGACTGGGGGCTCAAGTAAAGTCAAGCAGGACTGCTGTGGGCAGCTGCTGCTTCTGGCTCCTTGAGGCACATCCAGCCCTCAGTGCTCACCTTGTCTACACACCTGGGAAATTATTATTGTTGATATTTTTGTTCTTGCATTTCACAGGTTCCAGACATTGGAAGATTTCACAGCAATAGGAGGTCCACAATTCAATGGACTTAGCAGCAAAGCTATGGGCAAGCACTGGACATAGCTCATGCCTGATTGATTGCAATGGAAAATATGTGGGGACACTTCTGATTGAGATTAGGAGAAGCTGGGAGAAAAACTGGGGACATTGAGTCAAACTGTTGCCAGAAAAAAAGTCCAGCAAGAACTGGAAGGGACAATCAGAAAAAACTTGCTACTAATTGTCTTAAACTTTTAGGATAGGTAGGGAAATGCATCAGAAGACGCTGAAGTTTTTTTATTGTTTTTATCAGGAGTAACAAGAGGGAACATTTTTACTCTGTCATACTCATAGCTGGCTAAACTCACAGCGCCTAAGGCAGTTCTGTTTTTACTTTTCAGTTGTGTTGTACAGATCACATGCTCATGAAAAGTGAACTGTCAGAGTGGGTATTGAACAAAAGCACAGCTCCTTGGGTAAACTGGCCTTGAACCTTTGTCATAGACAAAATAGGTACAGCGGAAGTATTTGAGATATGAAGCCCCTGCTGGGACACAAGTGGGCTACAGCAGAATGACAAAAATCTGAGGAACTTAAATGGTTTCTGAAGAAGCCTGTGGCTGAGCTACCTGCACTAGAGGTAAATGGCAATGCTTCTGTGAGATACATATGGATTTATTTAATTGAGACAGATCTTGAATTCTTAATCCTAAATTATTTACCCAGAGCTCTTACCTCCCTCTGTCAGAGAGAGATAGATTAAACCAACTTGAAAAAGAAGGTACATACTGTTTCTGATGTGAGAATTAATGAAAATATTTTGAACACAATACGAGGAAGAATTGGTGTTTGTTTTCTCTGATTAAATGTCGTGCCTTAGGAATCCTAGATGAACATGAGTCAGAATGCCAGGGGAGTCAATAGTGAGTGTGTGTTTTTAAGCTTGTATCCAAATGCACTGCTGTGACTTGATTTGCAGTAGGCATTTTGTCCATTGTGCAAGCCAGGGAGTTTACAGGTGTTAACTTAGTCATGGTAGGACACCTCGTGGTTCTGTTTTGAAAGAAGCACATTGAATGGGATGGGGAGAAGGTTTGTTGCAAAACAGTGTAAAAGCAGGCTGCAGAGTTCAAAGAAATTGTCTTCCCCTGATCCAGTTGGGTTTTGCAGGCGTGCTGGGTCCCTGGCAGACCTTGGTTCATCTGCTGCTGCTTTTGCTGCTCTGAGAACAAAAACCTGCCCGTGTGTCAGCTCACAGCTGCTCCTGCAGGCAGACTCAGGCTGGGTGGCAATTCTGTGTGTGTATGTACAGAACTGTGTAAATTGAGCCTAGACAGCAATGGTGGGTCTTGTCAGGAGGGCCTCAGTCCAGTGCCACTCTTTTACAGGATGAGATAGTTTCTTATCTTTATACATAACTGTCTGTGAGGCACCTTCTCACACGTGCAATAGTAAATACCTGCTGAGGGTTGTGTGTGGGAGCCCAGAGCTTCCCTCTGGCTGCCCTGGGACCCTGGCAGGGGTCAGGAACCCCCCTGGACAGAGCCCCCAGAGACACTGGCTGTGATCTCTGTCCATGGAAAAGAGTTTTCAATCTCACAGGATGAATTACCAGCTCTGAGTGTTTGATAGAAGTAATAATTAAGTGTGGCACGGGTGCAAAAGTAAAATTTTAGGATTCTAGATTAGGGGTCCAAAGGGGACAAGATGGAGGAAATTGGGTGTGTCTTGTCCTTTTTCTCCTTCTTCATGCCCTCCATGTTTCACTGTGGTGTTGGCATTTTTCTGTTGGTTCAGGCTGGGGACACACTGTCCAACGTAGGTGACAGATATTGGCACGTTATTGTAAATCCAGCACAGGTAGTTTGTGGTATTTAATGTTTGTACCATCCCACTGAGGGCAGAGCCCCACACGCTGCCCTGCAGGACAGAGCTGCGGCAGGGCAGCAGAACATGTTAGAGATAAACAGAATAAACAACCTTGAAACCAGCACAGACCAATTATGGCTTCTGCTTTGGCAGCGGGGCTGAAAGACAGAGACTTTCTACAATCTCAGAATCATCAATACCTCAGATTCCAACAGCTGTGATTTGGTAAGAGTATAATGCCCATTTTATTTTGTATTTCTGCAAAAGCTAAGGGTTCCTCTGGCTATTTTTACTATTCCAAAAAGTATGTCTTGCTAGGTCAGCTGGATTAAGCTGCCGTGCAGCTGGACCAGACTGAATTAAAGCAATTTTTCCTCTTCTCATTACCTGAACTCATTCATTCACAGCTTGGTTCTGAGAGTGCTGTTCTGAATGCACATTACTCGGGTCATCTTCCCCTCAGCCCTCTGAGGTACAGAGTGAAGAGCTTTAGATTTATAATTCAACATTAGATTTATCATTCTGCAAAGTCAGAAATAAAATTCAGGGGAGAATAAATGGCTAACTCAAGTGCCACACATAAAGAAAAAGAAAACAAATAAATCCCTTTATTTGGGGAAACAATTTTACCTATCCCCCCTCTACAGCTCCATGCATCCTGCATCTTTCCTTTTCACTGTCCATGGAGAAAATATTTTTTGTCTCCACAGCCCAATAGGAAGGGTTCCTCAAATTTATTTACACTGAAAAGGGCAATTGTTGCACTGGTTAGCTTTATAGGAACGGCCAGTTCTGCAAGGACCAAAATTATGCAAACTGCATGTGACATCTACAGTTTCATTGCTAATGAACTAACAACATATCCAAGTTAAATCCACAGTATGTCCATTTTACAAAGGCACAAAATTCAGAGCATTTAATAATAAATAAGGGCCTTGCACATGTTAGGGGGTGGCTTTTAAACTATAGTAAATTTTGATAACCAATTCAATCAATGAAATACACATGCCCTAAGGGAAAATGTATTAGCAAATTAATTCGTTGTAATGAAACAAAATTTCTTATGAAAAGACAAATGAAAATGAGAATGATCTTATTCCTTCTGCATGTGGATGCTCCCTGTATTTATATTTGGTGTTTTAGAATGCATGCAAATTATGGAAAAAAGGTTATGTGGCAGCAGTGTGCAAAGTGGCTGTTGACCCAGCAGCTCTGAGAGGCCAATCCTCCCAGGCAAAAAGGTCTGGTAGGCTTTTTAATATGCCTTGGCACCTGAAGAACCTGCTCAACAGCTGGAAATGATAAAAGAGAAAATCAAAAGCGAGCTCTTTCGACCCCCACAGGAAACTTGCAGGCTCTCAATCTGATGGTTGTCCCTGCTACAAAGGAGAGCTCACGTGCAAATGTTTGAGAGCTTTGTAGTGCTGTGTCTCCATCCTGAGATAAATAGGGAGCTAATGAAGATTTTGGAGGGCTAACGTAGCGTGTTCTCCACAGCTCCTGCCTCCTGGGAGGGACGTGTGTGCTGCACCTGCTGGAGCTGCCTCAAAGTGCTGCTGGAGGCCCTTCCAGTCAGCTCAGTCGACAGCTGAAACATAATAAAAAGATGGTATGTGGTTTGTTTTCTGCAATTTCCCTTTGCTCCTTTTGTAGAAGCCTTAGAGAAACTTTATCTGCTTCTATACAGTGAACATCATGCTTTAGCTAAAAGGTCTTTGCAGTTAGTTGTTGTTTTTTTTAGGAAGAAAAAAGCATCCCCTTCTGGGAATTAATAACACTGGCTACTGCAGGAACATATGGTCACTTCTAATGGCTATATTTGTTATTAATGAAGTGACAAAGAGCTGACTTCACTTTAGAAGAATCATAAAGTCCAACAAGATTTAAGACTGGCTGGTTAGCGCTGTTAGAGACTAATATGTAGTCAGTTTTAGGAGAAAATGTGTTTTTATCATACAGGAGCAGAAATCACTTATATTATAAAGCTACTGGAGATTAATTTTCTGGTCTGTAGATACAGAGCTCCTTGGAGCAAGGAGTTGTATTGATGCACTGCAGGTCAAGAATTAAATTTTTTAGATCTGGATATGAAATTTAGCAGGGTACTGTCCCATGAAATATTGTTTCAGTCCATGTTTTCGCACAGGCATCCAGGTGTGTGGAAAATACAGGTACAGTAGAATAAACAGAACATTTTTGAAAGCCTTGGTTTAAATGTGAAATATTCATGTGTTTTAGTTTGTCCTTGAATTGTCTTCTGTGCAAAATCTTTTGTCATTGAATCATTCAAAGACAACAAGCAAGGATTATTAAAAGTCTAACTTGAGTTCCCATTTGCAACTTCACTGGAGAGTGGGTTAAGCAGAATTACAGTCCTGAGTAGCTACAAGGCTCTAAATCAAAAGGTAGCACCATTTAATAGCTAGAAAGAGATGATATCTTTTGACATTTGCAGTGGGCTTGGCTAGCAGATGTTTTGGTTCTGGTTGATCTCTTTGGAGGTCTGGTGTACTTCCTTGTGTGTGGTGGCCACATGCCTGCAGGAGTGATTACTGTGTTAAGCAAGACTTGGAAAAGTCCATAGCAGCTGGCTGAGATCTGCTTGTTAATGCTACTGAGCTAAAAGGCTGCAGAGTTCAAAGATACCAAAGACAAAAGAAAGCTGGTGAAGAGGAGCTGTTGGTGGGGTTGGAGGTGCCTCTGCAATAAGGCACTGAGTTGGGGGAGAAAAAGCTTCTGAACTTCATGCATGGTACAGTTGGATTAATGGCAAACAGCAGATTGACCACAGCTTTACCCAGTGCAGACACTCAGGAATGAAACCCCTGTGAAACCCCTGTGCTGTGAGCAGGTGGAGGCTTTTCTGCTATGGCCAAAGTGATTGCTGAGGCACTAATGCAGGGTGGGGGTCGCTGCCACTCTGGGAGAGGCACAGCCCTGGAAGTGGAGAGAACAGGCAATGGATGGAGCCAGCAGCAGGCACTGCGGGGGAGGCTGGAGCTGCACCTCTTGGCTCAACTCTCTGGGACTCTCTGATGGCCAGCAGGGAAACTGAGGCACCAATCCAGCCACCTCTGCTGCAGGCTTCCTTAGCCCTGGTGCTCATGTTCCTCGTGGTGGGGATGAAGGTTTGGGCCATCAGCTGGGGCTTTGAGTTTCATCTCCTGATTTTCACTTCTCCCTGTCAAAAATGATGCATTTTCTAAATGCAGGCAGACTTGGGCCAACCCTCTCTCTCTTCTTGGGCAATTTATTCCCCAGGAGAGGAGATAAGCTCCAGCTTTTCAGATAGCTCAGCTTTGGCTTACCTGGAAGGGGAGAGGTGATGGCACCTTTCCCAGCACAATGGCACTTGGTTCCCTTAGGATCTCCACTTGACATGGAGATAGATGTCTCCATGACAAGATATGGACTATCATGTTAGCAAGCTGCTTCTTTCTGCTCTGTGGCCAGGGCAAAAGAGGAGAAGATAGCAATTCAGTGCCAAGAGTGGTCATGGCTCTTGCTGTGTGCTCAGTGCCACGCAGAAGATGACAGAGACCTGGCTGTCCTTGGTAGCCTGAGATACAGGTGGTGTCTGGTCATTTTGGAGCTAGCACCAGCCTGGCATGATGTGGATCAGGATTTTCTGTTAATTTGATGGTGGGCCTCCTGTCCCATCTGACACCTTTGCTAGAAGTATGTAGATGGACAGAATATTGCCTTTCCCTGAGCTGTCCCATCACAGGTTTCACTCCCCTTTCCTACAGGGAGTTCTGGTAGGAAGAGCAAGGGAGTGCAGCCTGGAGGCCCACAAAGGCTCTTGCACTGAGCAGGAGCAGAATCTAACAGCAAAGTGCTCCTTGGCATGATGACACTCTGTACATGGAAATACTCACCAGGAGACTGGTGCGGTATAAAACATATTAATCCCAACAGGTCACTGTGATCTGTCTGATTTACGCATT